CGTCCGGCTTGGCACGCTCAGCGCGGCGGTGCCGGTCACCCTGGGCAGATCAGCCTCCGAATCCTAACGGGGGAAACGAGGATGCCGAGGTCTCTGGGGGAACACCGGTTTACGTGGCAGCAGGCACAGGGCTGAGGCGCTTCCTCCCGGGGACGGGAGCCCAGGCTGGATGCGTCGGGGCGGGGCACAACACCCCCTTCCACTTCCACAGCAGCAACACCCAAGTGCTAGGAGCAAATCACTCCTCTGCTTGCCCTGTCTAGCTGGTTTGTCTGCTGGCAGGGCTGTTCTGGCAGCGTCGAGGTGCCTGGACGCCCATAAACCTCCCTCTCTGCCGCTGATTTGGCAGAGGCGCAGGAGGCGGCTGGAAATCGCCAAGGTGCGCTCATGGCAGCGGGGAAGGGGATTGCCCCGCGCTCGTCGTGCACACAGATTCCCATCTGGTGCGAGCTGCGAGCTCGCACGCACACACACAGCCAGAAACACAAGTTACCAGCGGGGCTTGTTCAGAAAAAGAAACGGGAGGAGCTTCTAAATTAAGGGGTGACGATGCAGCCAGAGCATTCCTGACAGACTCCTATCACTCAGCTGCCCTTCCTATGCTTCAACAATGGCAGAAATAAACTTGCTAATTTAAAAAGAGAATTGAAATGAAGAATTAACTTATCAGCTGTCTCCACGGGGGGCACAGGATGTTACGTTCAGGTTAGCCAGACAAACAAATTCAAAATACCCAAAAAGAAACAAATCAGCTTTACTGAAGAGGCTGGTTCATTTCTTAAATAAAAACAGAGACCACAATCAAGCCAGTCGAGATTAACATCCTAGAGAGGCAAAAGGGCAGACGTTTAGTAAAAGAGAAGTTGCAAGAACTCGTGGCCAAGGACTGACTCTGGGGATTGATTCTTCGGTGACTTCTGTGCTCCAGTGAGGGAGGGGGAAGGAGGGCAGATCAGCAGCGGCGAGATGGTTTTTGGGAGGGCACCGGTAAAACCAGAGAGGGAAGGTGCCTGGCCCTGAGCACAAGACGGTGCAGCTTATTTCATCCCGCTGCCTCACCTACGCACAGGGAAGGAGCCTTTCCCGAGAAGGAGCTTCCTCCTTGCCGAGGTGCCGAGTCTGGCGTTGGGATTCCCACGGCCGCATCCCTACGTGTTGCTCCTCTCCTTTGACTTTTCACCTTTGCTGTCCTGGAAGAGGAAAGAGAAGCAGAGGCTTAGGCTGTCCCACCACAAAAGCCACAGCGGGGGTTGCAGCACTATCGCCAGGGTCCTGCGAGCAAAAACCCGCCATGCCTGGGTGCCGAAACGCGACCACCACCCGCCCACGCCTCCGGCTTCCTCCGTGCTTGCTCTGGGCACAGCCAGCTCCCTTCAGCCAAGCTCTCCTCGTGGTTAAACGGTTTTCCATCACGAGGCTTTTCAAAGGGCACCTCGATCAGACGATCTCGCGGTGGATTTACAAACGCTGCACGTTTCCCAGCCCTCTACCGCGCCGCGCGCCACCTCCCCACGTACGGGGAAACAACCGGCACATGCCTGCCCAGGTCTGGGCTTGCCGCGATTCAGGCTCGCTCAGCTCCCATACGCTAAGCAAGGTATTAAAAAGGAAAGCAAACAAACACACGGCATGCTGGCGTGCACACACACGCACAGCTCACAGCACTAGAGCGAGAAAACCATTCCCAGCGCAGAGAAACGGCTCTCGTCTCTGGAAAGCCTTTAAGTCTGCTGCCCGAGTTACCTACTGCTAAGGTCTCAATATTTATTCTTCCAGAGAAGTCACTGCCTCCTAGCTTAGGACTGGATTTTTCTCTCTATAAAGTGTTTTGTTTTCTACCCTGAGCAAATTAAGAAAAAAAAAAAAAAGCAAGAGTCAACTTTGGACTTACTTTTTAGGTGGATTTAGTTTTAAAGTATTTAGAAACTCAAATTAACTGGAGCCCTGCTTACCACCTGCAACGAGAAGCTGAGGTTTGGGACATGTCAAAGATTAGACAGTTTAAAGATTTCCTTGGAACAACGTTATATTTTTTGGATGGGAGAGGGAGACTGCAGCATCACGCACACCCCAACGGTACCGCATCACACACGCACAGACTCACGCCGAGGGGACGGTACCTCAGGAGGCGGTGGCTTGATAGTCACAGGCTGGGATGTCCTTCGAGGTGGAGAAGGCTTGGGCTGCACTTGCTGCTGGACAGTGTTGTAGTACGTGACCCCTCCGTACACCTGGGACTGGGCCTGCGTTCCCCAGAGAGCAGAAGGGTCAGCGCTCTTCGCTGCGGGGAGCGCAGAAGGTTGCATCCCCCGCGAAAGCGCCACATGTCTCAGAGAGCCTTTACAGCACGCAACTGGGCGGTGAAAAGATGCCACCGCCTTGCACTGAAGGCGAGCAGCCGCAGAGGGATGGGGGTTGATTTGTGCCGTGCTCCCCAAGGCTACAAAGAACAGCAGCACTCACAGCTCCCGGAGGACCCTCGCCTGCCCCTGCCCCTCACCAGGGCGTCCCGGCTCTCGGCAGGGTGGGCAGGTACAGGCTGCAGCAACCCACAGCCACGCTGGAGCGAAGTTCATGGCAGATGGGTTTCCTCTGCCCTGCAGAGTTTCCCAGCTGCCACAGAATCATCAAATCGTTGAGGTTGGAAAAGACGTTTAAGATCATCCAGTCCAACCAGTAACCTAACACTGCCAAGTCCACCACTAAAACCAGTTAAGGGTAGAGTAGCAATTTCATGTTTCCTGGCTTGGTGGCTGGATTATTTAATGAAAATAAAAACTAGGAATCATTAAGGTTGGAAAGGATCTCTAAGATCATCAGTCCAACATCAACCCAACACCCCCATGCCCACTCAACCATGTCCCAGAGTGCCACCTCTGCCCGTTTTTTGAACCCCTCAAGGGATGGTGACTCCCCCACCTCTCTGGGCAGCATGTTCCAATGCTTCATCATCCAATGATGATTCAGCCTAATTGACCACTCTTGCCGTGAAGAAATTTTTCCTAATATCCAATCTAAACCTCCCTGGATGCAGCTTGAGGCCATTCCCTCTTGTCCTATCGCTGACTACTTGGGAGAAGAGACCGACCCCCACCTCCCTACCCCCTCCTGTCAGGCAGCTGTAGAGAGCGTAAGGTCTCCCCTCGGCCTCTTCTTCTCCAGGCTGAACAATCCCAGTTCCCTCAGCCGCTCCTCATCAGACTTATAATGTCTGTGCTTTGTAACAGCAGCAGTTACCATTTTTCTGAGCAGACAAGGCAGGTAACAGCTCCCCTTCACACCGAGATCACCTCCAGCTGCCCGGGGGCTCGGGATCTGTCCCAAAAGCAGGCCAATTCCCTGCCGGGGCAGCTGGGATCAGCCCAGGGCAGCAGGGAAGGTCAGAGAGGTTGCAGGGCTCGGGGAGCATGCACATCTCTAGCCTGCCACTGCGTGTCAGCCGTGTGCCGCTTGCACAGCGGCCACAGGTTCGTCGTCAGGATACCCGCACAGATCTGCCTCCTCGCTTCCCAGCGGCTACTGCGGACACAGAGGTCAGACATCGAGTGGGAAAAGCCAGCCCCGTGCTGGTCACACCAAGGGCTTTCCCGGCCGGTGCCAAAAAACAACACCAGCCAGCCTCCTGCCTCCATCTCAAACAGAAAGGACTTCCAAAGCAATTTTCAAGGTGTCCTTGACTTAGCATGGACCTGGAGGGGACGTAACGGTTCACAGGCTCCTGGTGGGCTGTCTCCCTGTTCCATAGGGGAAGACCTAGGTTCTGAGATCCCCCAATACAGGCATTTCATCCACTAGAGCCTAAACCCAGGGTAGCTGCACAGCAGACATGGGAGCAGTCCTTTTCAGCTACCCACCCCAAGCAGAGAGAGGGACGACAGTAAACAACCTCCCACCACTGAGCAGCCCAGCTGCTCCACATCCTCTCCCAGGAAGCCTCAGAGAATATACCCACACAGCACAGGATCCCATCTGCTCTCGACAGCTCTTGCTCAGGAAGGAGACGCGCAGCGCAGCTGGCTTACCTGCGTGTTGGAATAGAGATGAGGAGGAGGCGGAGGGGGTAGTGCTCCTGGGGGGTAGGGGTAGCCAGGATTCCCAAAATTCATGACTCCAGGAGGGGAGAAGTAAGTCGGTGCAAGCAGCTGCTGCGGTGGGGGCTGGCCCGGCGGCATGGAGACTGGCGGAGGGTACAGCCCAGGGTTTGCCATGGGGGCTGGTGTCTGGTGGGGATGTAAACCTGGGAAGCAACAAAAATAAGCTGAACGTGATGTCGCGTGGAAAGCCAGCGCGTTCCGCGGAGGACTGGGGCTGCTATGATGCCAGCAGGTCAGCACAGCTGCGCCTCCCTGCCGCTGCAGCAGGAGGAGAAGCGCTTTGCTCAAAGGCCTTTCCTGCAGCCACAAGACCTCAGCTCCTGTGCTGGGGAGGGAAAAAGGGAAGCACTTCTCAGCACAGTGGAGCATGGCTCCCTCCCCAGTGCCGGGGTCACGGTTCACCGGAACCGGACACAGCCCCGGTCAGCACATCCAATTCAGGAAATGGTTTTTGTGGGTAAGATAGAGAACATGCCAATTCAACAGTTCTCATTTCTGCTTTTCTTTTCTGATCTCCAAGCAACAGGGACTGAAGAAGCAGCCTAGCACAACAGCTGGCAGAGCCAAGCTCCCCACTGAAGGGGAAGCGACTCAGCCAGGAGGGTCTGCACAGAACCTGCAGACATCAGCTAGAGGCTGCCAAAACATTCAGATCATCTCGGTCCTGCACTGGCTGCAAGGGCCAGAAATGTCTATTTTTTCTTTCCTTAAAATTCATATTGATCCAGCCTCACTGCACGAGGGAAGCAGGTCTCTTCCATGTTGTAGAGATCAGGAAAATGGATTCCCCCAGCGACAGAGGCTGCATGAAACTGGAGTTATCTGCTCCCCAGCACAGGCTGAGCCACCCCAGGGCACAACGCAACGTCGGTACCAGCTGCCCCGTGCCCCGCTGGGGAGCTGGTTCCTCACCTGGATGAGGGAGGTGCATTTCTGGCTGTACGATCATCCCTTGGGGCGGCAGCGGGGCTGGGTTCTCACTGTGGGTGTAGATTGGTCCCTGGAATTGTACTGCAACACACAACAGTTGGTAAGGAAAAGCTCCACCGAATTTTATTCTACTGCAGCAAGCCACACGCACGCCGCAGCCAGCTACCGTTACAACACTTGAATGCAGTGCTGCAAGCTACGTTCCCATCGGCACACGCTGTCTACCAGGCTCACAGATGCTACGTACTCCCAACAGAAAAGCCTCCTACTCCCTTTACAAAGCAGGAGAATACTCGGGGAATTTCTTCTCCGACACTTTCAATGCTGGAGTAAATTCCTAGTCTATCCTCAGCCTTGTTCTGTAATTCTCCCCGCTCTTAAATGGCAAAGACATTGCTCTGATTTCAAGTTAATTTTAAATCCTCATTCTCACGAAGAAAAGCAGCATCCTAGAGAGCCCTTGCAGGGGGAGGGGAGGCAGTAACACTGATTGTATTTCAGTGGGTTTAAGCATCAACCACAGAGGCTCAGAGCAGCTTTTTAGTTACCGTACGAGATGACGCAGCAATGCTATTTACAAAGGAAAGGGAAGACAAAGCCCCCGATCCTAACAGGAGTTAGGATCTGAGCACACACAGAACCTCAGGAGCGGGAAAGAAACACTCACGTGGGTCGTAGTAGTGCCCTTCCATGATGCTGATGTGCATGGGGGGGGCAGGCTCCGGCACCGGCGGTCTCTGCCGCTGCGACGAGTAGCGTTTCACGCGGCCCCCCTGCACCGCCTGAAAGAGTCCAAAGGGATCAGCGAGGGTCAGGGTGAGGGGCAGGAGCCCCCCCCCCAGGGAGCACAGACCCGCTCCCCCCGCCAGCCCCTGCAAACCTCTATCTGGGTCACACAGTAAAAAACTATGAACACCCATGAAAGGGAAAGGCTAAGGCTGAGGTGTCACGTGCAGCCTCTAATTACTACAACCCAGAAACAGATAAATGCTGGGCTTCCGCGCTTCTACAAGCAAGAGTCACGCTCCACGCAACAAGCTTTACCATTTCCTCCATCCTGTTAAACTGAGGCGGTGGCCCAGTTCCCACGTGCATATGGTTAGGAATACCTGAGGAATAAACAAACTGGTTATTATGGTTTGCATTTGCTCCCAGTGAAGAGTCACCTCACCCGCCGAGGGCAGCGCCAGGAGGTGCCCGTCGCTGGCCGTACGAGCGCCGGCAGCCTGGGCACGTTACTGTACTACAAACAAGCACAGCTCTTGCTTTTGTGATGAGAAACCTTTTCTAATAAATTCATCTCTTAGGTTACAATTTTAAATATTTCAGTACAAATTAGAATCTGTTGTGCCACTGTGCAAGCATCCACACTGCTCAACACCTTTTAAATCTTGCTTAAAAAAAAAAAAAAAAAAAAAGTAATTCTCAGCTTGAAATCCCGGTCCTGATCTAAGCTCTGTTCCTGCAGAGACAGGACCTCTTCAGGGAAGAAACAAGGATCCATGTGGGACTGGGTAAGCTGCAGTTTAAACTCTCTACAGGGCGGAACCACTTTTATCATGGGCTCCTCTGAATTCAAACAACAGTTACAGTGCACATTTAAAACCACAGCGCCAAACTGATCACAGGCGATTCCAGGGGAGCGAAAGTGGACAAAACAAACACTGCAAGTGCCCACGGATCACTGATATTGCAAATATACGCACAGGCATAGATGCTGTACGTACAGAATGACTCGATGGCTGGCTCATCTAGCCAAATGCCTCCCAGAATTAACTCCTACCTTCTCTGCTAGGAAGAAGCAAAGGGACAGTAGAGTAATACGTCCTTCTTACAGACAGAAAGTGGTCTCCTACCTGCAGTCTAGAGCTGTCTCATGGTAAATTTGTGAAGATGCTTTATTTTTAAGTATCAAAAAACCGCCCCCACAATCTCAGCTGCAAATCACAGCACTTTTGAACTCTCATTCTCCTGGCATGTTTAAAGTCTGTCTCCTCGCATCCGCAGCCGAGACCAAAGGTCTGTTCACCAAGATTTTACCAGTCACGTCAGTGCAAGAAGACTCATGGTTTCATGACCTAAACCTCAAGAGATGCTTATGAAAACAGCAGGTCGCTTTCTTCTCCTTGCTCCAGTTTTATTTCCCTCGGGAAGGACTCTAACACTCCCCAGAAAAGACTCTAATTCTGCGAAGAGATAATTATACCTGAATGACCTCTCGCACGGATGCTCAACTAGAACTCAGTCCTTAGCTCACACAGGGGTAACTCTCCCAAATATCCCTCCTTCAGCTGTCCTGCCTGCTGCTGCGAACAGAGCAGCTTCCTCCTACCAGGAACAAAGGCATTCGCCAATCCCGGTCAGGTCTTAGCTAGTGGCAACTAAATCTCAATGCTAGGAAATAAGCTGATAAACAGAGGAAAGTTCCCTCCTGCTCCTAGCAGGACATTACGGGAGCCCAAATATTCATTATCCTTACCTGCCAACCGAGCACAATGCTCCTTATCTGCCAAACTCTGACTCCTGCTGCAGCAGCGGGTCTTGCTATGATTCATAGCGCACAAAGTCCCTGCTGCCTGTTCCACGCACAGGCCTTCAGCTTTACTGAACCTTCCCCATTCTCAACACAAAACAGGGCAGAGAAAAGGAAAGGATCTAGTTTTATGTCCTTCCTGGCTCTAACTCAATTAACCTGCACCAGAATGTTTAATTTCCCCTTTTTCTGTTCTGTTTTGTCCCCTCTAACCATCTCCACTGCACTTTCTCAGCAGCACGCATTTCCATCACAGACCTACACCGAGACTGGACTAAGGTAGAGACAATTCAGCTCTAACCAACTATGCAAATGCGGAATTGCATTTGGCTGGGGCTGCAATGGAAAACCAACATTTTGGTGCAGCTGCACCCACTTACCCCTCAGCTCCCGGGGCTGTATGAACTGAGACTGCCCTGGAGTCCAGTTCTGCTCAGTGAGATTCATTTGGGTCATCTCTTGCTCGAGTCCATCCAAGCTGGATTCTACTGGCGACTCCCAGTTACTGCTTTTGGCTGGTGGGGGGGATGTCTCGGCTTGCACAGGTTTTGGAGGCACAGGAGTCAGCCCTTCCGAAGGCGGCACTTCATCTGCCAGCTTCCCTGCATCCCCAGCTTTGATTCTGGTCCTTCTTGCCCGGGAATAAGACTTCTTTTCAATTGGTCTGTCTGGTGGTGGCTGTGCAGCATCGGCAGCCATGGCTTGGTTTTCCAAAGCAACCTCCTCCTTTGCAGGGCTGCTGTGGACGTGTGCTGCTTCCATCTCGGGTGACTTGTCTCGTGGTGGGGTTTGCTCCGCACGCTTTGCTCGATAGTTGCCCTCCTGTTTTGCTTGCTCGCCGTTACGAGACAGATGCTGGACGCTTGTTTCCGAAGCTCGGTAGCTTGGACGGGTCTCTTTGTAGCCCCCCATCCTTGGGTAGTTCCTAGGTGGGGGCATCCTCCCTGTACCTGCGGAGCTCCTGTTGGTGAATGTTCGCGGGGGAGCCGAAGTGCTGTCTGCACCTTGGTGCCTTGGGGGCTTACTTGGCCTCTCGTTGGACCAGTTTGGGTCTCGCTGAGGAGGACTCCCAAACCTGAGGGAGAAAAATAGTACAAACAACTAGAAAGAAATCCGAGTGAGATGTGCTGCTGCACCAGGGAACCCCTCTCCCGTATGCAGCATGCAAAACTCCCAGGACCAAGGTCTCACCCCGGGGCCAAAGCCAACCACAGGGCTTTCCCCCTTCCTGTTGTTTGAAGCGCCTGGCACAAGGGCTGAGATTTCCCTCCGGGACAAGCCAGGCTCTAGTTTGACTTTGCTGCTCACCTTGGTTTGCGCATCCTCCTCGGCTTGATGTCGTCAGGGTTGTGAGCTGACCTGATGTCATAGCCATAAAGCGCAATCAGCTCCTGCCTGGTCTTGGGGGCCTGCTCGTCCTCCCGGAATTTGTCGTGCTCCCAGCGGCCCTCATCCTTCCACAGCTTCCGCTGACGACCCTTCGGCCTGGAATAGTTACACAGTGAGGACCAAGAGGTTGTCACAAAGCCAAGGAGATGTGGCAGCTTCAACCAGCCCCACACACAGAGACCGAGCATTTCTAGGGCAGGATGTGCACAGGAGACAGCATCTCTTCTTCCTCCCGCTCCTCCTGCCCAGCAGCTACTGGTCTACCCACTGCTATTTCCGAAAAGCAGCAAGAAGGGGCACTGCTCATTGACAAGAAGCTTTCCCTGTGGTTTTTTTTGCACCACCCTCAGTTTCTCCTTCAAAACAAAGAGCCAAAATGTCCTGGCAGGACACTGCAAGCAGGCAACTGAAGAACAGGCAAATCCTCCTTGCTGACGCCTTCCCAGCGCCTCACACCGAAGCAAGGAGCTGTGCTGCCAAACGCTGACCTGGGAGTTGGCCTCACCCTCCCAGAGAGAGGCAGACCCATGGGGGATGCTCACATACCTGACCTCCTCCTCCTGCGTCTGCCCTCGGAGGTCATGCTCAAAGAAAAGCCCTTTGCGTGGGATGTAAGCCGGGTTTTTCCGATCCTCGTCATCGTCCAGGTGCTTGGGAACTTTTTTCCCAACTTTATTCTCAACAGGCTCAGTGCTCTCCTGTCAAAATCAGACAGCTCTTACCACTGCAGCAGTCCCTCTGCGAGAAGCCCCCCACGGCCCAGAGAATGCATGTTTAACACCTACCTGCCCATCCCCGCTTTGCCTCTCACCAGTTACAGCACCTTTGGAGTCAGGTTTTTCATCCCCTTTCTCTGCTTTTGCCGCTGACTCACAGGAATCATTACTATCCTGCTTCAGTTCCGCTTTGGCACTTTCTTCCTCGCTGTAATCCTCTTCCTCTGCCTGAAAGAGCCCCAGTTACTCAAACGTGCACCTTTAGCAACAGGTCCCCCAGGAATTTCCCCACACAAGTCCCCAAATCTGGAGTTAGATCCCCATTCCAGTTGTTAGACACCCGGCTCTTTCAAAGCAGAGGATTAGCTCTCAAGGTCCTTCCTATCCCTGTATTTTTACAGAAAAAGCAAAGAGTAAACCCACAGTTCTCCCCACCAACTCTCACCAGTGACATCACATCCAACAGTCAGGCTTTCTAGAACAGAGCCAGGACCAGCTCCCCCACAAAGCCACTGCCTCTCTTCACCGCTCTGAAAGGAAAGGGCTCACGCAAGCCAGGGAGACCAGCGAACAAGGGCCCTCAGACCGTCCCTTCCTTCCCACACTGAGGGCCTGGATCCAGCCAGCACCACGTTTCCAAATTCCCTGGAGTTACTCAGCTGACTCACTCGGAGCACTCTGCTCACAGGAGCATGACCTCGTTTCACCCTCCAGGAGCCTGCAAGCCTTGCTTAGGCTGGAACTGACACTAAAAATAGCTCTGCATGATTAACAAAAAGACTGCTCTATTTTTCTCTTTCAACACAGCGTATTTGCACATCAACTGCTCCTTTTGTTTACGTTGGGGAAACCCAGACGGGCATTATTTTTAGGCACAGGAACAGAGTCATCCTGGCACGTCAGTGATGCAATACCCCTGCTGCTCCAACAGCCCGGCGTGCACCGGCGCTGCTCTGCTTCTACGCATGCTGAGCCTCCGGGGAGCCTCCGCGCAGGTTTCCAGGCTTGAAGAGCCGCTGCACGGTGAACACGGGGAGCTGCCCCTTGCCCTCCACGTGTCGCCTCTACAGCCTGCCGCGCTCCTTCCTCACTAACGGCAGCGATTAATTCACAAATTAACAGCCCCTACGAGCTTTGATTTCATCTGCCTTGCTGTTTTGTGTTTTCTCTAACTGCTGCCCGCCTCAAGACCCCCAGAACAGCTGTCTCAAGAGAATGGTTTTCACTAGAAAACCTTCACTGTAATCATTAGAAACCAGAACTTCTCTAAACTTCCTCAAGATGTTAAAGTTACAGTTCTGAACTAAAAATCCAGGGAAACCTACAGCCGCAGGCTGCTGCCCCAGGCCGCCTCCCAGGTGCAGGCAGGGGGTCCCAGTGCATGCGAGGCAGGATTTTCTCAGCACACACCCAACGCAGAGCTGCCAGCACTCACGGGGCGCGTTACCCCTCCAGCTGCTGTATGCAGAAGACAGGGATGCTGCCTGGGATGCTTCCAACCCAGCAATTAGGTTTTTCATTTTGACTAATTAAAACGCAACCAGCATCCTACACTTCCTTCCACACCCTTCTTGGCCATGGCAAATCTTGCTCCCAGTATCCAACGTCTGAGGAGCCAGGCATTTTTTTTTTTTTTCCCCCACACATACTGGCCCTACGTCCAGCCCACAGCAGCACAGGCAGCTTCTCCACAGGGCTGGGCCCAGCTGCCCAGCACCGTGGACTGTATGCAAGGGAACCGCCCGGCGAGGGGGCTCAGACTGGCAGAGACTGTTTTCCTCTGCAGCGGCGACGACTACGCTGCAGCGCAGCTCGCTCCGAGTCTCTGCACAGCTGGTGCGAAGCGCACGAGCTGGTATCTTGAGACAAAGGCAATCACAGCCGATGGGGTCAGTGGAACAGAACGAAGGACACAAACTGGGTTTTGTGCTAAAATTGTGCGAGATGCGGTCACTCAGCAGAACCCTTTAAACACCAGGACAGAGACTCCTCTTACCTCTGAGTCTTCTGCGCTTTCGTAATCTGAGAGTACAGCTGCGGGGGAGAAAAAGGAGTTTGGTGTCACGGCAGAAACAGAAACACAGCTTCTCTCTGAGCGTAACATGCCACGCTGCAGGCGACCGCTGGCAAACACACGCTGAACAGTCCCACCAAGGGAAAGTCAGAGGCCAGCACCAAAGCGTGCCTGATGAATGCCATTGCTAGCTCACACAGGAGGAAGCAAGGGCGAGTTTGGGGCATGTTGTCCCTGCACCCCACATTTGGCTACTATTATGAGGTAATATTTGGGATGACAACAACTGCAGGACTATTGGAAAACGCATTTTGTCCAGTTTTTACTTTTTGCACGCAGACAGAACTTGCAATGCCAGAGGAAGTCGTTACTCACCATCTCCTTCAATGCCATCCTCGCTTTCCTGCAGAGAGAGGGAGAGAAAGGTGCATTAGCGGAGGGGGAGGTCAGCAGCTGGGTCCCTGTGGCTTCCTACGATCCCAGACGCAATTACAACAAGGTTTGGCCCCAGTCCTATCACATCCGCCCTTAGAAGTTCAGCTTCAGTGACCGAGAAAGAAGAAACAAATTCAGGGCTCCCGGTACCTTTCTCCAAGATCATTCTGGAGTGAGCTATGCTGGGGGAACGCAGCTCAAGAAAAACAAGCACAAACTGCGTTAACTGCTAGGGGATCTTTGGAGGGAAAAAAGCAACATGGACAGACAAGCCAGGCTCCCCTCCCTCAATAACGGAGGGCCAGACAGCTAACTCGGGAAAGGACAAGAGGATTACTTAAAGCAGGAGCCCAGGAATAACAAATAAATACCAAGCAGGACCAAGCTCAGGCAGATATCTGCGAGAGAGATATCTGCTAGAGACTCCAGCGACAGAAACACAACCCTGCGCCTGAGAGAAGACGCTGGATGAAGTGGAATCAGAGCAGGAAAAGTTTCTAGTAAAAGAACAGACTGATCGAACTGTGCAGTAAAAACAACCTCAAATCAAAAACAGAACCA